AAAGCCGGGGCCTGAACCGCGGCTGGGAGCTGCCGCTGGGACGGCAGGGCCAGGGCCCGGGGAGCGGGGGAAGCCGAGCCCAGCAGAGGCTGATGTGGCCTCCCCGCCCCAGCGCCCCAGATCCTCGCTCCCAAGCGTGGCCTAATGAACCAGAAACAAGAGGCGGCAGCAGCGAGGCTGGGTGCCTTTCTGTTGGATATGAAGACACGTAGGACAGCCCCCGCAGAGCTTATCCGTACCGTAACGGGGAAAAGAAGGAAAAAACAAAAGGGTTGGTGACTTTCTAAGAGGTTTTTCTTTTACCGAAAGAGCGGGAAGAGAAGTCCAGAGCGCGGCTGCAGCCCTGGCTCAGCCCGGCTGCTGGGAACGGGGTGCTCCCACCCAGCCAGGGCTACCTTCACCGGCTCAGAGGCTCCCGCCGGAGGCAAACGCATCCCTGCGCTGGAGGAAGCCACGCTGACAGCGAGGGGCCGGAAGACAAAGCCACGCTCAGCGCCGGGGAACGCGTCCCCGTGGATGTTCACGACTGTGGCTCTGCGGAGACTTGTTAGACCCAGCCACGCTCGTTAGAGCTGAACTCGCTGGAGTCCCCACGGAGGAAAGGGGGAGGCGGGGGCAGCTCCCGCGGGCTGCTCCCCTCGCCGCGAGGCAGGTCCTTCGCGAGGGCGCGGTACCGCGGCGCAGAGAAGATGCGAGAACAGCTGCGGTGCTGGAAGAGAAACCGAAGCCGTTCCACCGAACACGTCCACGGCAAGGGCGGGCTGCGGCCAGCTCGCTTCAGCTTCAAGCAAAAGGAAAGCGATGCTGAAAATAAAGTCTGTCGTAAAGAGAAGTTACGGCGAGGAGGTTTCCAAGCAAGTAGAGGTCTCCCAAAAAAGCAGCAAAAAGAGGGAGGCTGGAGAAGCTACGGAGAAACCGCCCACGCCCTGCGCCAGCCGGCCCCACCTCTGTCCGTAAACACCCTCCCAGCACAGCGTGGTTTGGGGCGGGGCGGGGGAGCCGCGCTTCCGAGAAAGCGGAGAGGGAAAGGAGAAAGCACCAGCACGGCCGGAGTGGAGGCCCTGCAGGGGTCTGGCGCTGCGAAAGGGGGACCAGCCCACAGCACCGTCCTCGTGCTGGTCCCGGCGATGCGGTTTAAGCAGCGGGTTGCGGAGCAGACGCAGGTTTTATCCTCCTGGAGCCCCAGCAACGTGGACGCCTCCGAGATCGCCCGCTGGGCGCCGAGGGACGGGCCGGGGGCAGAGGAGCTCAGGTGGAACCTCCCCGTCCCCTTGCACAACTGATCGCACGCACTTGTGCAAAACACTTGGGAACGAGACCTTTGGATTAACTGTTTAATACACTTGTGCACATGTGCGTATAGCAAAGAGGCAACTGTGAATCATAAGGCTATTGAGACATCGGCGGGTTCCGGGAAGAGCGAAGGCCTGGGTGAACCGGGCACCCCCTGTTTCTCTGCTTCTTTGTCCCCGTTCCATACACAAAACCCGCACAGAGGAGGGGAAACGGCCTCTTTTGCCCTCGTTTGCTCAGCTCACCCAGGAGAGAGCTGCCAGCCAGGGCGCCAGCAGACGAGAGCAAGTCCCGGAGCTCCCTCCTGCCTGAGGCAGAGGAGGGAGGGAGAATCCAGCGCTGGGAAACGCTTCGGCTTCTCCCCCACTCAGCTCGTTTGCTTTCACTCGATGTGAGAGTCGCTGTGTCCGGCTGTCCCCGCGCCACGTGCCACGGCAGATCCGCGTGCCGGCTTTCCTGAGCCGCGTCAGATTTTGGGGGAGCCGCAGCCTGCCAATGACAAGGTCTCCGAGTGAAAGGGACGATCAGTTGAGTCTCCATATATTAGTTATTCGCGCACACGCAGGGAGGTGGGTCATTCTAGTTTTCATGTATATCCATATATAAAGTGTACGTTGCCCTGCACATATTTTATATATCATATATATATCATATATATATATATATATAACATTCTAAAAACCCTCCAAAAACCTAAGCTATGAAATCTCAAATCCCTGGGAGGGCTGTCCTCTCGCGCCTGTCCAAGGCCAGGAGAGGGGCTTCAGATCGAGTCTACGGAAACGTTCCCGTTACCCTCCCTCGCCCTACCTCTGCCTGCCGCACCACGGGCTCAGTCAGCGCCCTGAGCGCCCTCCTCAGTCCCGCTCTGCCCCAAGGCTCCTGTGCTCAGTTCTCCCAGGCTCTCCGCAGGATCCGTGCTGTGCGGCGGCTTTCCTGAGTGAAGGCAATCCTCAGCCAGGCGCTGCTCTGCTGCAGCACCTCCCGCCGCCGCCTCGGAGCCGTCCCGAGATGGGTCCTTCAAAGGCTCCAACAGATCCGCGTCCGCCCGGGGCGCGTGGGCACACAGGTCCTGCACCTTCTTATTGAGGTCGTTGCGCTCCGTTTGCAGGGCTCGGCACAGTTTCTCCAAGCGCTGGATTTTCACCTGAAGCCCCTCTAACTCTTTGTCCCGAAGGGTTTTCTGCAAATAGAGAGACAGTTCAGACTCTGTCACACCGGGGACGGGGAGGCAGGAAGGGAGCGAGATGAAGCCTCCGATGGAAGCTCAAAGGGAAAATACTTGTGACCAAGCAAACATCTGGCACAAAAAGGACCCGATGCTGCCGTCACCGCTTCTGCCTTCCCTTGCCCCCACGAAAGCCAAGGGCCGCTGAGATCCTCTGACTTCTCCCGCGCACCTCTGCGCTAATTACCCATCGCTTCTGCCACGCGAGGGGGCTCCTACCACCACGTACAGGGAAGGGAATCAAGCGGAAGGGAAAAACACAACCCCCTCCACCCAAGCCTGCCTGCAGGAAGACGGGAGCTGCCCCGCTGTCCCGCAGCTCCCAGCGCCTCACAACACATCGCCGCGCTGCGCCAGCTGCCTGCCTCCGCGCGGGAGGACAGCCAGAGCCTCCTCACCTCTTCAGCCATTTCCAAGAGAGCCTTGTTGCTGCTCTCCCAGCGGGAGCGGTACATAGTGGTCTCCTTCTCCAGCTTCTTGATTTTCTTAGTCATCTACAGAATCGCGGTGACAAAAAAGGAACAGATAAGCCACAGGCACGGCGCTGCCGTCAGTTACGTCTCACGTGTCCTCAAATGGGCACCCGCTATCCCAGCGCAGCGAGGTTCTGCTGTCCTGGGAAAGGTCTCCCTGTGTCACCGCAGTCAGCTACAGGGGGAAACGCTGACCAGGTAACAACAAACCAGGAGACGGGGTAGCGCGGCTTGTTCCGACAGAGGTGGGGCACAGCAAGGATGGTATCAATCTGCTCTGAGCAGCCAGCTCGTGGCTGATTTTAATACCAGCAAAACCAAACAAAACTACAGAGCTGCAGCTCTTTCAGCTCGCAGAAGCATCGAGGAGAGGCAGGCAGTGCCTCCAGCCCACGCAAGCTCTGCTGGGCAGCAGAAGTCTTACCCACCTTCTCCATCTCCTGTTTAAATGTCGTGAACACTTCACTGCTTTTGGAAAGGGTGTTCTGGAATTCTTCAAACTTCTCTGTGTAGAGAGCCAGCTGCGGGGAGAGACAGGGTTACAGCTCCTCACTGCTCACCACAGCACCCTGACAGCCTTCCCCGGGGAGAGGAGATGTCAGCCAAGAACTGAGCTAGTTATCTTGTGACTGGACTTTATGACAAATAAACCGGCAGCACGGAGCTGCTCTGCCAATGCTAGATACCGGGGAATGCGGAAAAATTCTTTCCTAGGGAAACGTCCTCAGAAGTGCTCTGCAAACACCTCCTGGCCTTGGCAGGAGGCACTTGCTGGGTCTGATTCAGCAAGGTATGATCACACGAGTGCTCCCAGCACTGGGAAACGTGCTGGTAAAAACCAAGGCCCCCTTCTCCCGGATTGCTGAAGGAAGCCTCAGCTCACACCACGCTGACACAGGCTCACCGATACCAAACCCAGGGGCAATCCTGCCCCTGTGATTTCCAGTTTAAGGAACTTTGGGTTGTTCCCTGCTTAAGAAGGAAAAAAAAAACCCAAACAAATAACCAGGCTGAGCACACAGAGCAGGTAACTCACCTGCTGCTTGAGATGGGTCTCCTGCTGCTTCATCAGCTCACACATCCTCTGCGATTCCACAGCTTCCTTCAGCAGCTAGGGAAGAGCAAAAGCAGTTACCAGGCTGCCACCAGGGAAGGCTCTCGACATGCCCCTGCACGGCTGGCGCTTTGCCTGGAGAAGGGAGCGGGCTGGGAGAAACACGAAGAGCAGCGCAGGGCTCCAGCCTTGCTCCCGAGGCCGCTGGGGGAGCGGTCACTGCTGGGCACGCAGGAGGCCTGGGATGGCCTGATCCGATTTGGGCTCTGCCCTCAGGGATCCAACGCTAACGAGCCTCCCCAGAGGGACAAGGCAAAAAGCAAAGCGCTCGCAACCGTTAGAGAGCTGCTCGAAGACTTACAAAGTCCTTCTCCCGCTGGTGTCTCTCCTCTGCCTCCTTCAGCATTTCCTGCGCCTGCTGCAGCTTGGCGTCCACCAGCTGCTGCTGCAGGTCCTTGTGTTTGAACACCTTGTCGATGTGCTGCCAAGGGAACGCCACCGGTCACTGACATGCTCGGCCCAGCCCCTGCTGCCCGGGCAGCGACCCCAAGGGAAGATCCCAGAGGCCCCCTCTCTCCTCCAGCAGCAGAAACACGCTTTGCCGGGCGGAACAGAGGTACCAGAGCAGCCCTGCGCCCAATCTCCCACCCCGACCCACCTCCTCCCGCAGCTCGTACTGCTCGATGAGCTTCTTGAGCCGCTCTGCCAGCTCCATGTTCTCCTGGCGCAGCTTGGCGTTCTTCTCGTTGTGCTGCTCCATCTGGAGCTGGATGTCGTTCAGCGTCACCTGGAAGTGGGATGTCACCTCCTTCCGCTTCTCCTCTTCCTCCCGCGCACGCTGGACACCCTCCTCCTGCGTGAGGAGGGCAGAGACAGCAGGGACGCGTCATGCTCTGTGCTGGGCAGGTGAGCAAACCCACCCAGCCTCCCACTATTGCGTATATCGATCAGGAAGGGGCTTTGGGCCACTGCCTGGCAGCCCCCTTCCTCAGCCTGCTTTGGGCTTTTCCTCTCCCTTTCTCCAGCGAACATACCCCGAAACAACACTCAGGCACGCTGGATAACGATGGCTTAACAGTAAAATTAAAGCACTGCCCCGGACAGTAGACTGTGGGCAATCACAGGTAAAGGTACGTTTGCCAAAATGGCTCGGAGCCCCACAGCAAGCGATCCAAGTGCTCGGGATGCAGCAGCTCCTCGAATACCGCCCAGGAGACACTTGCCTTGAGGGTGCGGTTGTGTCTCTGGAGCTCCCGGCACAGGCTCTCCAGCTTGCTGCGGGCCAGGATGGCCTTGCTGTGCTCGCTCTGCAGGTGGTCCTTCTCTTGCACCAGCTGCGTCTGCTTCTTCTGCAAGATCTTCATCTGTTTCTGGGAGTTACGGTGC